CCCTATTTACACAGTTTGGCGAACTGACAAATCCCACCACTGACTGGCCCCACTCATTGTTTGGACTGGTTTTGGGGCTGTTTTCAGGCCGTTTTCTGGGCCATTTTTGTGCAGTTAAGCGAACCGGCAAATCCCACCACTGGCTGGCCCCGCCCCCACTCATTTTTCAGGCTGTTTTTTGGGCTGTTTTGGGCCAGAAAAGCAGCCCAAAACAGCCCCCCAAACAGGCCAAAAATTTAGCAGGGGTGGGGCCAGCCAGCGGTGGGATTTGCCGGTTCACCGAACTGCACCTAATCTTAACTACCGGTTCGCTTGAACCGGTGCAAATCGGCAGCAGCCCACCTCTGGTAGTTTCCAAAAATAAACAGCCCAAATCCCCTCCGAGGTCTGCCTCCACTGAGGTTCGTCAACAAGTTGGGTGGTCCAGTTTTGGGGCTTGCAAGGAGAAGCCACGGGAATTGGTCCAAGCCAGGAGTTCAGGGCGTCGTGTTCAGTGAAGCCAGCCACAAACAAGCTCCAGTCTAACCTTCCAGGTAGTGGCCAATTAGTCCACCTGACAGATAACTGGCTGCTCCAAACACAAACATAATCACTCTCCACAACGGAATTAATTCCACGAGCTGCAGAGTCCCAGAAACCCAAACAACCGTCTGGCCACGACCCACCCATGCTGCTTCCAGCAACGCCTCCCTCTGCTTGCCATGCTAAATAGCCCCTCCCAGTGCAGCCCATTAAGGGGGCGGGGCCTTTTCCCGATCAATCTGGCAGATCTCCGCCTTTCTGCCCCGCATACTCTTGCATCTACCAAGGCCGGTAGCTCCTCCGCCTCTTCCTCATTGGCCTGTGAGCTCTTCCCAGTCAAGGCATGTTCTGCCAGCAGTTTAGGGTCAGCAATACCGGACGTGCCAGGAATTAGTTAGTTTACTTTATTGTCACTGCACCTCGTACACAGAAATTAAATGCCGTCTTCAGTGCACATTATACATAAAAAAATAAAACACACACACACCTCCTTCACCCTCTTACACACTGAATTGAAAACCCTTGACACCGCACCAACACTGCATTATACAATAGAATTCAAAAGAGCTACTGCCCTGGGATAGAAGCTGCTTTTCAGCCTATTTCTCCTTGTTTTTATTATCCGGTACCGTCTGCCAGATGGTAATAGTTCAAAAAAAAAGGGGTGTGTGCCCAGGATAAGATGGATCTTTGAGAATGTTTTGAACTTTCTTAAGGCAGCGGGAGCTATAAACGGGTGGGATTCGGCCGATTCGGGCCAGTTCGGCAATCCGAATGTTAATTTTACATCCAGTGCGGTGAACTGGTAGTTCCAACAATCAGCTGGCCCCGCCCCGCCCACCCTGCCCCTCCCACAAGGCCCGTCTGGCTCCCAGGTAAGTGTAGGGTGGCCTCCTGGAGCAAAAATAGGGCACAGGCTGGTTGGCTCAGGAATTCTGGGAGTTGAAGTCCACAAGCCACAAAAGGGACCATTGTTCCCCATCCCCACACTAGAATTCGCTGCTGTTGTTCTAAGCTGCACTTCGCTCGTTGCTTGAGTCCCAGTCAAGCCTATTAAACCAACATTCATTGCTTGCTGGTCTCGGTCCAAAAAAATAGCTTTCACAGCATTATTTTCCAAAGATTGTGTGATCTGCATTGTATTATCTTAATCTGGAAGAAGTGGAGCAAAATCTTAATCGTTCTCTTTGGCTCTGTTGGTCCCTGGCTGCTGTTTGAATTCTCTACTCCTCGGTGAATAAATATGTTCCTCTAATTATATTTGTTGTGCTGAGCGTATTTTCTTGCGGCTTGCACTGTGACATCTCTCTCGATGTCTTATTTGCTTTTTATATAACTATTTCCAACCGGTACATTTAGTCTTCAGCATGCAACTATTCTGATCCAGGCTTCGTCAAACATATTTAAACACAAACTTGTTTTAAAAGCAAAACCTATTTTATTGCAACGCTGGGAATTACGTGCCTTCCCAGACAGAACTAATTATTTATAGTTCCCCAAGATAAGCACAGGTCTGTCAGTGCTGTGGAATGCTGCCAAAAACAGAAGTATCCAATTATAACAGAAACCAACTGAAATACCAAAAAAAAAACCAACCAGAATACACAGAGCTTCAAGGAGGACTTGGAATCTATCGAACTACTTTGCTTCCTGCAAAGCTTTTGTCATTGAGGTCTGACTTTTATCCCTTATGGGAGGGGCAATCACTTCCCAGCCTTACTCCCGAGTCGCCCCTTTTATTTCAGCTGCTCTCGCCTTTTAGCAGCTCTGCGCATGCGCACACTGGGAACAGGCTCCCCTTGTTCCTCTGCCTCGCTGCTGCTAGACTCCGAAAGCTTCAAAGTCAGCACCCCACTCCCAGATGGTCCTGGCCCCCTCGCTGCCTTGGACGCAGGACCCTCGTCCGAATCCTCCCCAGACTCCCTGGCTGGTCCCCTTTCTTCTTCACTGTCCGACTCCGCTGCCGTTTCCACTGGCTGCCAGCGAACCACCACAACAACTTTCATTTAGCGACCGTTCGAAAATTACAGCCACACTGAAAAATGTGACTTATGGCTGATCTTTGCATTTATGACCATTGCAGCCACCCCATGATGATCAAAATTTGGGCACGTACAGGTCATCTTTGACTTACGACCACAATGGAGCCCAACATCTCTGTTGTTAACTGAGGCATTTGTTCAGGGAGTTTCACCTCATTTTACGACATTTCCTGTCATGGTTGTTCAGTGAATCATTGAAGTTGTTCAATTAGCAGCCAGGTTGTTAAGTGAATCTGGCTTCCCCGTTGTCAGGAGGTCGCAAAAGGGGATCATGTGTCCCAGGGTAAATATGAACCAGTGGCCAAGCATCTGAATTTTGATCATGTGACCCTGGGGGCGCTGCAAAGGTCATAAGTGTGAGAAAACGGTCCCAAGTCACTTTTTTCAATGCCGTTGTAACTTTGAACAGACGCTAAGTGAACTGCTGTAAGTCAAGGACTACCTGTATTGACTATGGTTGCAGGATCCCGGAGTCATGTGATCACCATTCATGAACTTCCCAGCCAGCTTCCAACTAGTCCATGTGGGGGGGGGAGGTGGATTCGCTTAACAACGGTATGATTTACTTAACAACTGAAGTGATTCATTTAACCACCATGGCAAATAGCACTAGCAAGAGCACTTATAGACCGCTTCACGGTGCTTTACAGCCCCTCTCTAAGCGGTTTACAGAGCCGGGCTCTTGCCCCCAAATAAACTGGGTCCTCATTTTACCCACTTCGGATGGATGGAAGGATGAGTCAATCTTGAGCCAGTCAGGATTGAACTCCTGGCAGTGGGCAGAGTTAGGCTGCAATTCTGCATTCTAACAACTGCGCCATCAGGACTCTTGAGAGAGAGAGAGAGAGAGAGAGAGACAGACAGACAGACAGACAGACAGACAGACAGACAGACAGACAGACAGACAGAAGGTCTCATCAGATTCAGCCCATGGGCCTTGAGTTTGACACCCCGATCTAAGATATGCAAACACACGTTTCTTCTTGCGTAGGTTTCCTTAGGGGTGGACTTTTGTGTAGCATGCAGGGCATTACCTTTTCCTTTGTCATTCCTTATCCTAGTCTTCTTCTCTCCCTGAAAGCTGACCACAGGCCTCGTCTTTTCATTTATCCTGCTAGCCCTTGAAGCCCAAGGAAGCCAACGGTGAGATTTTGGGGTACAGCCTCCTCTCTCAGAGGAAAGGGGAGCTCACGGCGCCCGAATGCATCACTCACCACCTGCGGTGTCGGCTGCTCCTCCCGGCCGGCGAAGAATTCACCTTTTTTCTCACCGCCAAAAACACCGTGGGCATCTCACCTCCAACCCAGCTGGTGATTCCAGCCTTCCGTAACCCAGAAGGTAAGATTTGCAACAGTTGTTATATTTAAAAAAAAACCAAAATACTTGCTTAAATGTTTTGGCCCCTTTTTGGTGGGTTGTAAAAATTGGAAAAGAAGTTTCTGCAAACTACAGTATATTTGGGGAGGAAGGGAAATTGGGTTGGTCTGTCATTTTCTTTCCTTGATCAACATGAGAAGCAGAATGTCTATGGAGATTCTCAGTCCTCCAGGTCGTGGTTGTTGTCCCCAAAGTGCTTTTTCAAGAGGCAACTGGACTTTCTGTTTTGTTTTTTTCTTTGAAGACGTTTTCGCTTCTCACCCAAGAAGCTTCTTCAGCTCTGACTGGATGGTGGGGAAGGGAAGGATTTATACTCCTTGCAGACACAGCTGGTCATTTGCATCCTTTTAGAGGAGCCGTTGAGGCCACTTGAAGGTTTATCTGTGTCCTCAGGGTCACCTGAGTAATGCAAATGAGTGTGGAGCTTTCTTGGCTGCAGGATGTTTTCTGGCCTGGGTCCCTTCCCTGGCGCAGGCTGCTGGGGATAAGTCTATTTTGGCGGCATCTCAAACTGAAGCACAAATTTTAGATAAACCTCCAAGTAGCCTTGGGGACTCTCTCAAAGAATGCAAATGACCAGCTGTCTGCAAGGAGTATAAATCCCTCCGTTCCCCACCATTCAGTCAGAGCTGAAGAAGCTTCTTGGGTGGGAAGCGAAATGTCTTCAAGGAAAAATGTTGAGGTAATTCCCTGTTAGGAGAATGAGCGCATACAGGGAGACGTATTTGAGAGAAGCGTTTGAATAATACACACACAGAACGCAGATACACTGTACAGTAAATGTAGGTTTTTACTTCCAGAAACGTTAAGCAAAGTCCAAAACAAGCAGTCCAAAGTCATTCACAGGTAAATCAGTCAGTTTTTCAATCCAGGGATAATCCAATAACAAATTCCAGTGTCAAAAACAGTTCAGTAACAAACTTACATCAAATCCAGAAATAGCAGTCAATTAGGAAAAATGGAGGAACGGCAATACTTTACAACAGAAGGAAACTGATGCACTCACACTTCTCTTCTGAGACTCAGACTAAGACTAAAACAACCCAGGTTTCTGGCTCCCTCTTATGGCCGTTTGAGAAACCACACCTAATTACAGTTTTGCATCTTCAAAAGAAAAACCAGAAAGTCCAGTTTCCTGAAAAAAGCACCCTTCAGATATGAGAAGCAGAAGGCAACATTAAAATGACATAAAATCAATGTTTTTCAACCTTGGCAACTTTAAGGTGCGTTGGACCTCAACATGTTGGCTGGGGAATAATTTTGGGATCTTAAAGTTGCCAAGGTTGAGAAACACTATAAACTGCCTCTCTTTTTTTGCCTCTAGTCCCGCCTTCCCCTCTGTCCATCCTCGTGTCTTCAGCAGGGGACCACTCCCTCCTCTTACAGTGGTCTCTTCCCAGCACCCCAAGGATGGACTTTGTTCTGGAATGGAACAAGCTGCCCGAGGAGGAAGAGGGAGACCCACACTGGCAGTATGAAAACGTCAACCACGCTGTCATTACTGGTGAGTGTGGTTGATAATGGTGATGACGATGGAGAGAAGAGAGGAAAAGAGAGAAGAAGAAAAGTTGTTAAAGCAACCAGTGGCATAGCAAGAGAAAAAGGGAGGGTGGGAGAGAGGAGGAAGGAGATGGAGGAAGAGGAGGGAAGAGAGGGAGGAGAAGAGGGGAGGGGAGGG